AGGGCCCAGTCCACAGGGCGCCTCTCGAGCTACAGCCAGTGGCAACCAGCGACGGGCCCCGCCCGACGCGCCCCGTCCTCGCTGCCCGGCCGGGAGAGCCGGAGGCCAGGGCCGGTGCTGCACGGGGGTGCGGGCTGGGGACGCGGGGCTCGCCCCACAGCCCCCACGGAGGCGGCCGCTGGCTGGGAGGCTGCCGGCGCCGCCCTGCCTGCGAACACAGCAGCCCAAGGAGCCTCTGTGCAGAGCACGCTGTGCTGCGGCCGGGCCAGGGCACACTCATCGCGAAGCGATGAGAGGAATGTTCCGGCAGCTGTCACATGGGCTCCCTCTCAATCTTTTCCCAAGTGGAGTCCAAGTGCAGCAGCGTTGGGGCCTGGCTGATAAACATGCAACTGAAAACAAGATAAAAAGTCACTTTTCCCAAATATGTACAAGCTCGGGTGTGGCGGCTTCGTCCTTTCGGGGGGAAGGAGGGCCAGCCCCGCGCGGACCGAGACCCTGAGCACCACCCGAGGTGAGCTCCCTCGGACGGTCCCGGGACGCATCGCAGGGCGCGGGGGGTGGGGGTGGGGGCGGTGGCGCCGCGCGGGCCCTCCAGCAGGCCGGCTCGCCCCTGCGGCTCCCACGGGGACGTTCTGCTCCCAAGGAGCCCAGTGTCCCGGCACCGGTGCCCTGGCCGCCGGCTCTGCCGACACAGGGGACGCAGCAGACAAGGGCGCAGGTGTGGGGAGGCCACCAGCGGCGGGGGGAGGGACGGGGGAGGGGCCCGGCCGCAGCCAGGCTCGGGCGGTGACAGGAGGGCAGGACACGGGCGGCACAGGCACAGGGCCACTGTCTCAGGGGTGACTCAGCTCTGGGGACCAGACAGTGGGCGCGGCGACAGCAGCTGGAGCAGCAGAGCGGAGAGGTCAGGGGTGAGGCCAGATGCCACCCGCCACAACCGCGGCCGACAGACGCAGACTGGCTCCCACTCCCGCCGGTGCAGCTCAGCGGACGGAGCGCCGGCCCGAGAACCCAGGGTCGCGGGTTCAATCCCCCATCAGGGCACAGGGCTGGGCCGCAGGCCAGGTCCCCGGCAGGGGGCGCGCGAGAGGCAACTGCACGTGGATGTTTCCCTCGCCCCTTCCCTTCCCCCTCTCTAAAAATAAATCTTTAAAAAACAACAACAGAAAAACAAGCAGAAAAGGACCACTTCTCGAAAGGGAGGAAGGCCGTGACGGGAAAGGCACGAAGCGGAGGCCCGGTCCAGGCGGCGGCCGGGCCCAGGGCCACAGCAGCTGGTGGCCCGAGGCCGTGCGACCAGCCGCGGAGCGGAAGCCCGAAGAGGCACGTCGCACGACAGAAGAACGTTCTGACTTTTGTGGGGCCGCATATTCACAATGTCACTTTTTTTGAAGACACACAGCTGAATCCACATAAAAACTGCCTGACCAACGCTCCCAGTTTCTTCTCCAAGCCCTTGCAAACCCCTCCAAACAGACCCAGAGGGGGCACCCTGCCCTGGAGGCTGTTCGAGTGGCGGGCCGCTCGACCGCCACCCTGGGCGTGAGTCTCCGGCTCACGCCCCACTGCTCCCCGGGGGCCAGCGTGTCCGAACCCCAGAGGGACGACCCTCCCCAAAGGGAGCGGCTGTGGAACTCTCTTCAAAACCCCAAGTCGGGTGACACAGCAGGGACGTCCAAGCAGGGACTCCAACCCGCGGCCCGCAGGCCCCGCGCAGCCCGGGACAGCTGTGAACACAGCCTACCACGAAATCACCCGTTTACTTTTAACATTAGATGATTTCTGTGCACGCGCGTGTGTGTATTACATGTCACAATGTGTTGAACATGTGGCTCAAGACAACTCTTTTTCCAGGTGTGGCCCGGAGACGCCAGAAGGCTGGACTCCCCCCCCCAGGCCTTACACTTGACCCTGCCGGCCCCCACACCCCTGGTGGGAGAGGCTTCCCTTCAGTGGAGAAGACCCCGCCCCCACAAGGCAGCTCAGGAGGCGGGGGCTCCGCAGGCGCTTGCTCCCACCCCGCAGGCAGCACCTGCAGCTGCCCACACACGGGGTGGGGGTGGGGGTGGGGGGGTGCGTCCTCAGCACCGGGACTGATCCACTGAGGCAGAGGCTGGCAAGCCGGCTGCTAGTCGTTGATCACGTTTCAGTGGGCCACAGACAAAGTAACAATCCAAACGGGGCAACAATCCGATTCTATGCCGCACTCAGAAACTCTAGCCGGATTGATATTTTACGCAACAGCAGCGAAGTTCAGAACGAGACAGAAAAAAACAGCTGGACCGCGGATCGCCCAACTGCCGTTCCAGACCACAGATTCTCACAGCCGTGGTGGCCGGGATGAAAATAAAAGTACAAGGAAGCCACAAAAACGAAGATGGTTTCGTAAGTCGAACTCAATTTCTAAAATTCCCACCGATGAACAAGAGTGCAATCAATCTACCGAGGCGCAACTAACAAGGACAAGAAAGTGTTAAAATTAGTCGGCGTTCACAAGGCCGCCCGCAGCAGCAAGGCCGCGCCTGGAGAAGCGCCGGAGAAGCCCCGTGCGAAACGGGCGCAGGCCTGCAAGGCCCCTGGCAAAGGGCCGACCTGGCGCAAGGCATGTCCCTCCAGGATCCCCGACACCTCGCAGGCCCAACAGGACGGGCATGTCCTGCTGCAACAAAACTTACCGAGCTGACAACCGAGGGAAAACCTACAGAGACGGTCCCGACAGGCAACTTCCCAAGGCGGTCGGCACCCGGCCACGTGCTGAGGCAGCACAACCCGCAAACAGGAGGCTCGGGCGCAGAGAATCCCGCCCTGCCCGGGGGGTCCTGTCTCCACAGGGAGAACACAGGGTCGCCCCACAGCAGACGTGACCGTGACTGGCTCCTGGGGAGCAATGGCGCCTGCCCCCAGGGTTAAAGGTGCCCGTGTGTGGCCGTGTATAATGAGCACCCACGTTTTTGGCTCAAACTTTGGGGAGAGGAAAAAATCTTTCATTTTAATTTTTTAACTTACATTTAGAAACAAAACCGGTTATCATTATTCCAGGGTATTACTTTTCACACGGATGTCATTACTGCTCTCGCAAGTCACACTTTTAATGCGTTAAGTAAATTTAAAACGTTTACATAGTACCACCCACGTGGAATACACATCCTTTTAAAACTCTGGGCAAAAACCAGCTGGTGCGACTCAGCGGACCGCGCGCCGGCCTGCGAACCGAAGGGCCACCCGTTCGCTCCCCAGTGGACGGCCCAGGCCTGGGCTGCGGGCCGGGTCCCCAGCAGGGGGCCTGTGAAATGCAACCAACACATGGACGTTGCTCGCCCTCTCTTCCCCTCTCTAAAAATAAAGTCTTTAAAAAAACTGGGACTAAACAGTGCACATTCTACACAGCAAATACAGCAGCAGATGGCGCTTTCCCTGGTGACATCAGCCTAACAGACTGTTCGCAGCTGGGGCTGCGCCCAATGACTAGCCTCGGGGTCCCAGAAGGCGCACTGGGGGAACCAGGACGGCAGTCACACGCCCCCGGGGGCAGCTTCCTGGGGCCCTGGGCTGCCCCGCGGCAGGGGGCCCGCAGCTCCGTGACCCCAGGCATGGAAAATGCGAAACTCTACGCAGGCCCAGGCATTTGCCTGTAAAGTTTCTCAAGGGGCAGAGACGCGCCGTCCCACCCACAGCACCAACAAAAGGCAGGCCTTCGGGCCGTGGCCTTCAGTTTGGGAAACCAGGCACTCACGACACTTTCCACGACACAGGGTGCGGGCCGCACAGCGCGTCCGAGCACCCCCTTGTTTTCCCAAGCGCAGTTGCCTTTCGATACTTAAATTCTGCGATGCTTTGCTTGCAGAGCTTCTGTAAGTTCCTATAACGCTTCCCGTTTCCAGCGACACGCATGCACCGCCAGCCGCGCCTGAACCAAGAGCCGCTCCACGCGCTCTCCCGCGCAGCCTGCCCGCGTCTACGGATGCCCCCGGGAACCCCCCCGCCGACCTCCACACACAACCGGGGCGGGCCCCCTCCACGCCCCCCGGGCTGACACGCGCGTTCTCGGGGGGGCCGCGACACGTTCCACAGGCGGGCAACAAGCAGACCCTTGCCTGCTGCCACCGTGCCCCGTCCCGGCCGGCATTGAACGGAGCCCAGGAAGCCAGACGAGACACTGCGCGGCTGTGTCTTCGCTCCAGTCCAGCGACGTGTGGCCGCTACGGAACCCAACGCTACGGAACCCAACGCGGCATCTTCACACGCCCTGCCGGTGCCGCCCACCCCCCCGCCCCCACACCCCGGACACAGGCGGGAAGCAGCAGAGGCCGGCACAGAATCACAAAGACACGGAGGCTGCGGGCCCCACTCGGGGAAGAATGCACCAAACACATCGCATTTATTTTCTTTTTTTTTTTTTAAGCAAGTAACAAAGACCCAATTTACCAGCTTTACTTTTTAAACCTAAGCTTAACTTTACATATTTAAAACAATGGTCAAAACTAAGTGGCCAGCATTCATGCACAACTAGAAACATCCTCAATTTACGTGAAACCAGAAATGTGTCACCACCAACGCACGAACATCTCTCACTACTACACACGGGGAAGCGCTGGGTCACTCGCGGGGAGGTCCGTCCTGGCCACGGTCGCTTCACAGCCGGCGGGCGCTGCCGGGCGCGGCCAGTGCTGGTGTTAGTGCACGGGGTCACGGCCGCCTCGGGTTACGTTTGATAAAAAAGCAAAGTGCATACAGAGATTTACAACAATTTCAAAGACAAAAAAAATGGTCCTATCATGTGGTCCCAACAATAAACTCAAAAGTCTATGACAAACGGGCTCCGATGAGCTGTGTATAAATACTTTAGATTAGGTACAGTTATACTGAAAGTCGAGTTCGTCTGAAATCTTCAAAAAAATGTTCCTGTTAATCCTCAAATGGTGCTTGTTACAGTTAGCATTTCTGTTACATGCGTGCGTTGAGTTACTTGTTATCCAAGCGTAGCCGCTGCTCCTTACCATTTATCGTCAGGGACTTGAGCTGGCCGTCTTCTTCAACCTCCACTCTTTCTTGACCATTCTCGATAATTCTGCAGGATGAAACGTGTTTTAACAACTTTTTGAACTTACTGTGTATGCGAATACATGCACATTTTACCTAACGTAACTGCCGTAGGCACCCATGAAGTCGTAACTCTGGAGACTGGAAGCACAGCTAAAGCCAATCTGCTGACAGCTATCCTTAAAAGAGGCTTCGTCTCACAGACGTGCTGTCTCCACCGCCACAGCGCCGGGCACGGAGCGCGTGCAGATGCCATTATCACGATGGTAAGGAAGGCTTTTCCCGCTCGCGGCGTTCCCTTTCGCCGTTCTAACTGCACCGCGATGCTCACGCCCTGAATGAGGGTGGCGGCCGACACGCGGCCTCAGGCAGCATTCAAGCCCTGGCCTGCACGGCTCAGCAGACTGAGCGCCAGCCTGCGAACCAAAGGGCTGCTGGTTCGATTCCCAGACAGGGCACAGGCCTGGGTTGCGGACCAGGTCCCCAGTAGGGGGCGTGCGAGAGCCGCCCACACAAATGTTTCCCTCCCTGTTTCTCCCCACATTCCCCTTTAAGAGTAATAAATAAAATCTTTTGAAAAGATTCTTTGGTGCCAGATGACATACAACTTACGCGCCACCCTCGGGGTGGGCAAATCACAGCGGCCACCCACCATGACACCCACTTATCAAAGCATGAGATGTGGAAGACGACTCTACCTCTTTGTAGTGATTTTTCTGCCGTTAACTATTTTGGTAGAAGTTGACACGGATTTGAAGTTGCCCATCCCACTACCACCAAATGTCGTGGAAGAAAAGGAAGTGAGGCCTCCGTGACCTAACGCACCGAAGGACGTAAATCCTGTAGGAAACAAAGGGGAGAAAGATTAGAGACTGGTATGCCCAGCATTTAGGGCAAAAATCCCCAGGGTCCAGAATCCCACAGAGGCCTCTCCCCCAGGCGCGGCGGTCCCAGCCGGGGCAGCCGCGCCAGGGCCTCAAGGGGAAATGGCTCCGCTGAGTCCCGGGGCAGAGGGCCCACCAGCCCCCTGCTCCAGTCGCCTCCCCTCCCACCCCTTACACCCCCTCACCTGCGGGGGCCACTGGGCACTTGGCCCCACGCCTAAGCCTCCCAGGGGCAGAGTGGCCTCCCCACTGCGGCCAGGGCGGCACCTGCCCACTCGGCCTCCCCATGCGAGGCAACAGCGGGGACAACAGTCCGTGATGTTAAAACACTGACGTGACCCAAATCGACAACAGGCCGTTGTCCGCGGACAATGCCAATCCCGCGGCAGCCACGCTGCGGGCGCTGGCCCGACAGGCACGGGCCGCTGGGCGGCCAACCACAGCCTGACGCGAGGCTGGTCTCCTCGCTCCCTCAGAACCGGCACCCCAGCCCCACGCGCAGCCCGGCCGTCCCGACTGCGGCGCTGCCTAGACCCACGGCGTCCAAGAGGAACAGAGCCAAACATGTTTTAAATTTCCTGTTGGCCCCCTTAAAAATTTAAAAAACCTGATAGAACTGATGAACGCTATTTAATCCAGAAACGCCCAAAACCTTGTCGCATGCGCTGTGAACATCTGGCCTGGCATGCACTGCCTCTCACTTCCACCCAAGACCCTGGCGGCCGCCCCTCGCAGCGGCATCTGTGTGGACAGGCTCCGCCGCCGGGGACAGCAGAGGCGTGGGGCCTAGAGCCGCACAGCCCTTGCCCGCCTGCCTCCTGGCGGGAGGGCTGCCCCCACGTCTCTGCAGCTGCCCATGTGCGCCGGCGGGGCACTGCTGCCAGCAGGACGCGCGCGTCCATGGGTGCGCGGAGGGGGAAGCAGCGCCCGCACCCAAGGGGATTGAAGCCCCTCTGCCGGCTGGTCTCCGCGCGGCCCCCGCAGCTGCCTGTGTGCACAGCACTGCCGGCCCAGCCCAGATCGGCCGCGGAGGGACCGAGGCCCACAGAGAGCAGGAGCCGGGGGCTGCCGCCGCAAGGCTCTCCTCTGCGGGGGCGCCTGTCACGGCGACGCCCGCTCTGTGAGCGCCAACACAGGGCCTGCGGGGGGTGCCCGCACACGGCCCCCGGGGCCGCCTGCCCGCCCGCCCGCCTCTGCCGGCCCGCCCGCCTCTGCCGGCGGGCTCTCCCGGGACACTACCTCCTTGCGCGTTTAGCTGCCGAGGACAGAGAAGCCAGGAGTAGAAAGACTAAGTGGGTTGTTCCTCTATTTACCACCCAAACACACGTTCCTCCTCTTAACCAGCCATCTCATCGGTGACCAGCAGGAGCAGACATGGAGCCTCAGGCACACTGAGCTGGGGCGATCGGAAAAGGCCCCGGGCCCGTGAGCGCAGGCCTGCCCCCAGACAGCGCAGGCAACCCAGGCTATCCTGCCGCAGGACTCTCTGCTCAGACGCAAGATGCAAGACGCGAGGATTTGATACCTGTATCAAAAGCAGGAAACCCTCCTCCGAAAGGTGGAAATCCACTGAAGGCAGAGAAGAACGAGCCCGTGCCGCGGTTCCTGCTCCCGCGCCGAGTCCCAAAGAAGTCATCAAAAGGGTCTTCTGGAAACAAACACACACATGGTCAAACACTGTTTCGTGGGGAAGTTGCCGCAGGGAGGGGTCCCGGGGGCACAGAGCCTCGCCAGGAGCGAGGGCGGCCGCGCAGCCCAGCGCAGGGAGCCTCCTCGCAGGCGCTGCCTGCTTGCGGGGCCAGAGCCGGTGCTGGGGCAGCCTGAGAGCCGCTCCCCCCGCCTCCGGTGCAGGTTCGGCAAAGCGTCAGGCCCGCAAGGCCCGCACACAGGCGCCCAGAGACGCGCACCCCCGAGGCCGGGGCTGCCCTCTCCAGAGGATTCAGAAGCGAGCGCAGAGGTGGAGCGTCCGCGCCGCCCTTCACGGCGCTCGGGGGCCAGCGGGGCCGGGCCTCAGACTGGGACTGCCTCCCACCTTTCCCGTAAACGTGACACTCGAGGGTATTTTTAGGGGGAAGGGGTGGCGGGAAAACGGAGACAAATGTATTTGAACAGCAAAAATAAATTTAAAAACATGTATTTTTAGAAAGATTCAGATCCACTCTGTAGGAATGTGAGCTGCAGGCAGCAGTGACAGGAAACCACTCACCCCGGCCAGCGCCCTGCCGCCCCTGGGGACCCCAATATGCCCCCGAAGCGGCAGGACAGCCCAGCAGCTTGGAGCTGCTTGGGCCTCAAAGAGCAGTTAGTTCCTAAAAACGAGTTACACAAACTTTTCTAAAAATTCTACTGAAGTTCTATGAAATTAATCAGTGTTCTATTTTTCTCAGAAATAATGGGAATTTTGCAGGAAATAAATCTTGATGGACAAAGAGACACGCCACCCACTGGGGGCCACAGGAGGCCCGGCCCCCCCGGCCGCCCGCGCAGCGGCGGCCAGAGCAGGGTACAGCGACAGGGAACGGCCCCGCGGCCCCGCGGCCCCGCAGCTGAGGCCTCGGCGACACTCCGACGCTCCTAGACGGCGCGGAGGCCTCCCCGCAAACACCAGCGCCGCAGACCGCGCCCGCAGCACTCCGCAGCACTCCGCGACACCCGCTGAGAAACCCCAGTTCCTCCGTATCCAGCAGCAGCAGACCTATTTGCAAGGAATCTGACATAAAAGCAGCAGCAAACCCAGAACGCAGCAATCCAACCACAGCCTGCGGGAGAGAGGGCTCGGTGGGCAGGGCCTCCACAGGGGACAGGCCCGGGGCCGCCTGGCACTCAGCAGGGAAGCTCTGGCTTTTCTGGTCCCACACAGCTGCTCTGGACAGGCCAGAACTTCTGGCTCCATCCTGGGTGGGGCTGCAGCACTGTCCCAACAGTTGCAAAACCCTACACAGGGATGCGAGGTGCATGCACCAGACCCCCATGGCCCCATTTCGGGGCCTGTGAACGGGGCCCCAGAGGAGTGCCCTCCTTAGAGGAGCCCCAAGGAGGGCGCTGCCTCATCCCGCGGGCGTCTGTCCCGCAGAGCAGCCCCCCCCAAGCAGAGAGGAGCAGGCCCGGAGACACTGAGGACGGCGCGGACCCGAGCGGGGGCCCCCTGCAAACCACCGGGAGACGACCAGCCCCAACGGGGGCCGGCGCCAGCTGGGAACTCGGGTGCAGAGCTGAGGGCCCTGTGAGCCCCGCTGGCTGGTGCCCCCCCCCCCGGAACACGACTCTGCTTCACTTCCGTTGTCCCGCGTGGGGGGCAAGGCTCCCACACACAGGCAGACCGCGCCCCCGCAAGCGGCACGCTGCCGCCCTCAAGCCAGGCCGTCCCCCAGCAGAGCTGGGCAAGGGGCTCTGAACCCCCATCGCTGGGGGCAGGAGCCAGGACCACCCACGGTGCCAGGCGCTACTCCCGCACCACGGGGGCAGGGCCGGGGTCGCCGAGGGGTCTGCAGGGAGAGGCGCCCTCCCACATCCCCGCCGAGGGCGGCGCGCGCCGCTCGGCCCCTGGAGCCGGGCTCCCAGCACCACGGTCCGTGTGAGCATGCTTCCCTCCCCACCCCAGCGAGCCCGGGGACAGGAGCGCGGTGGCAGCGCGGTCACACGGTCACCCAGCAGGCGCCCCCGCCTCAGCCAGCGGACGACCGTCCCCACAGCGCCCGGGCCGGAGATGCACGTGGGCCTGGAGGGCACGGGACTGAGCCACCCTCCTGCGATGCGGCGGCAGCCCTGCGTCTCCTGTGGAGCCCGGACGCGCCGCGGCCTGGAGCTGGCCCGTTGCAGACTGCGCCCGACCCCCAGCTCACTGTGACCACCACACACCACGGAGGCCGGGGAGGGGCACGCGACTGCCAGGCCGCACGGGCGGCGACCCCGCGACAGAACCCACAGGGCCGGCGCGCTGCCCCCGCGCGTCTCTGAGCCTGCCCCGCGTCCCGGCTGCTCTCCACTGCGGGCGGCCACCGGGCGCTAACGAGGGCCATACACGGCGAAGGACAAGGGAAACCGTCGCCATTGCACCGCACGAGGTGGACGCGCAGAGAAGCCTCCCCAGGAGAAGAGGACGAGGGGTCTCGCGGCCGTGCTGCTCAAACAGAAAGCCGGGCGACGGCACAGGACGGCGACGGGGCCGACGGGGCCGACGAGGCGCCACGGGGCCCCGCAGGTCGCCGCCCGACGGCGAACTCACCAAAGAAGTCGTAGGAAAACGGGTCCCTTCCACCGAAGAATTCCCGGAACACCTCCTCCGGGTTCCGGAAAGTGAAGCCGAACTCGCTGAACGGGCTGTCGAAATGGCTTCCACCTGCGGGAGCACAGCAGGGTCAGTTTACTAACTCCGTGTGGAGGACAACTACCTGTCCCCAGGACGGGTTTGAGTCAAGACCTTGAGAAAAAGTATTTCGTGAACCCGCGACTGTAACGCTCGAAGCTGAAGCCCAAGCCCTGCCCTGACAGGGCACCTCCAGCGGGCGTGCGCTTGGCTGTGGGCCCCTCCTTCCGCCCCGCTTCACACGTGCGTACACGCAGCCCCTCCTGGTGGGGCCCTGGGCGAGCCGGCGCGGCTACGGCACCACAGGCCAGCCCGGCGATGTTTTACCGAAACACACCTATCCCGCCTTAAGGCCTGAGCCGGGGACTTCAGTTTTCCAGCAGAATCTACTTTTAACCCCTACGGACACTGCACTGGGTACAAACTCACAACTCGTATTTCACATCTACTCGCGTAAACGCCGCCCATCTGCCCATCACGCCCAGCCCGGTCCAGGCTCCAGGCTCCCCCTGTTCCTGGCCCCGGGAGCTCACACGTGCACCCTGTCAAGATGCCTGCCACCAGAGAGAAAACGCCGACGTACCTCCTCCTCCATTTAGTCCTTCTTTGCCGTATTTGTCGTAGATGTCCCGTTTTTTAGCTGTGAATTTAAAAAGAAAAGTCAATGAAGACCAAGTTCCTTTCCCAACCACGCCTAGTAGACAAAGGACTCCCAAATTGTCAGCCAAAGACCAACACAGGCAGGGAGGCGGGGTACAGAGGGGTAAGTGGTCATGGGAAAAAATACAGTAAGACTAAAAAATTATGGAGAGACCAACGCAATTCTCAGTGCTCACAACTGGTAGTGAGGGGCTGGGCCGGCTTCTAAGTGAAAGGGGGAAGAGAAAGTCAGTACCTCTCTCCTCAAAGCCCGGAACGCACGTTAAGTGCTGTGAGCTTTAAAACACGACGACCAACACTGAAAGTTCCATTGTTAAGCGCCTGAGCCCACCCAGGCTGCCCTACACCACAGCACCAGGCCGCACATCTTCCCTGCCCTCGACGTGAGGCAGGAAGCATGTGGACAGGAGGCTGGATGCCTGCTCGGCCGGCAGGCAGGCAGGCCCGGTCCCCTGTGAGGCGGCAGCCAGGCCGAGGCCCCTGACGGGCGGGTTCTGTCCCCTCCACCTTCGAGGAGAGGTGCCCGGCACAGCACCACCTGCCCCAAGCCCAGGCCCCGCCCACTCAGCCAGCTGGTGCAGGGACGGGGGAGCAGGGACAGGGGAGGGAGCGGCACGTGGACCCCGCCTCCCAGCCTGGCTCTGGGACCCCCGTCCTGGTGACAACAGCTGCTCCAGGAAGTGAGGCCCAGCCACCAGCTCGAGCTGCAGGCTGGCTGTGAGACCAGGACAAGCGCAGCTCCATCGGGGGGAAAAAAAGGGGCAACGCTATTTTCAAGAAGGCACTTAGAGGCTCTCTTCCCGTGAGGTTCGAGGCTGGGCTCAGGGCTCAAGGTGTCCTCTGTCCTGGTCTAGAACTGCCCCTGTCTGGGAGTGCGGGCTGACCTCTTGGACAAGACCCCAAGGTCCCCTGCGTCCCAAGTCCGTCCAGCTCAAAAAAAGCCCAGCCATCGGTCTAAGGCGCAGAGGCCGCACTTAACAAGCCGCAGGCATGCGCGCTACGGCAGGGAACAGGGCTCCTTGTGCGGGAAGGTTCCGAGCCTCCCTTAACACAAAGAAGGGAGGTGCTGACCCACACAGCAAGGGTGCTCCCGTGTTAATGGCCGTCGACAGGCGTGACGGTAGAAATGGAGTTCGTTCCAAAACCAACAGTGACTTTGACCCATGACCCTGGCCCACCCCGGGCGGCGAGTCACCCGCTAACATACCCGGTGCCCCGTCCAGCCAGGTGGACACAGTGGTCGCCCAGGTCCCTTCCTGCATTTCACAGGGTCCTCCCTGCCCCAGAACCCAGACGCGATCTTCTCATCACAAGCCACAGGCTGGGCCTGGTTAAAAGCTAAGCTCTCTCGGTTCACGAAACTAGGCTACCGAATCGGACTTCGGTCATTCGGCACCTCTGCCCCGGACACGGGTGGAACACCACCCGGAGGCCCCGTCTCGGCTGCGCCCTCCATGCCTCAGGCCTGGAAACCTAGGAAGCCCTTCCAAGGGCGACATTCTGGAGCGGCAGGTGGGGGGCGGTCCCGCGCCACTCGGGCTGCCCCACCCCACACGGGCCCGGGGCTGCCCGTCCCGCGGGTCCCCAGGCCGGGGCCCGCCCCGTCGTCGGCTGCCCGGGCGGAGCCGCAGGACACCGGCGGGCGCCAGGAGCCCGGTGTCCCGTCCGCGGAGGGGGCCCCGCAGGGCCACTCACCATCGGACAGCACCTCGTACGCCTCGGCGACTTGTTTGAACTTCCTCTCCGCTTCCTCTTTGTTGTCAGGGTTTTTATCTGGGTGCCATTTCAGTGCCAGTTTCCGGTACCTTGAAGAGAGTAAAAGCGCGTCGGTAACAAGAACGTCCCAACACCCACCGGGTGCTGCACCCGAGTGAGGCAGGAAAAGGGCTTCAGAGCTGCAAACCGGGGGTGACTGTCAGTTTCCACCAGGAGACTCTCCCAGAACCAGGTAACCAAGCTCTAAGACCCAGAGCCCAGGTGCTAACCAGCCCCCGAGGGAGGGCCGCGTGCCGCGCCCAAGGTCCCGGTGCCCGCTCCGCCCCCACCCTGCCCGCAGGTCAGCGCCAGCAAAGGCGGGGCCGCAGGCGAGCAGCCCCGGCCTTCACAGAGCCGCCCTGCCGTAGCCTCAGCCGCCCGTGGCCAAGCTCACTCCCTTCCAAGGTGCCGATTAACAGAACCACCGCATGCTCTTTACGCTCAGAAAAATCCTCCTCTAAAGGCCAGCTGCCCACTCTGACCAGGGGGCCAGTCCACGGGGGGGGGGGGGCTCCTCACCCACGACCAGGAGGAGAACAAGGGCCTGGCCCCGCTCCCAGGGGCAAGTGGCCGCCCTGGGGCCGCGGCTGGGGAGGGGGCGCCTCGGCCTCTCTGCGAGCGCCTGGCTGCAGCCAGGGTCTGCAGCGGGACCGGCCCCTCCTTCCCACGCCCTGCGGCCCGCGGCCCCCGAGGATGGGAGCCCTGTGGGGATGGGACATGCGCCCACCTCTCGGAAGGGGGCCGTGGGCGGAGTCAAAGGGGAAGGCGCCAGTGCCGAGCGCCCCGCAGTCAGCGCTGGCTCCAGGCTCCCCCGCACCCTCCCCGCCGGTCCGCCCAGAGCCCCAGCAGCGGGCAGGGAGGCCCAGGGTACACGGGGGGGGGGGGGCCCCACACCCTCCACCTGCAACAGCAGCTTTCCTGGCCACCGCGCCCGTCCACGAATGGAGTGTTCCAAGACGCACCACCCGCCGCTGCAAGGCTGCTCTTCAAAAATAAATGCAGCCGCCCCAGTGGGTGTAGCTCCATGGACAGAGCGCCAGGCCGGCCCGGGGCCTGCGGACTGAAAGGCCGGGGCACGTGCCTGCACTGCAGGGCAGGTCTGAGCCGGAGGCCAGTGAGAGGCAACCAACTGCTGTCTCTCTCACACACCCACGTTTCTCAGTCTTTCTCCCTCCCCCTTTCTGAAAACAAATAAAATCTTTTAAAAATACATGAACGAACAAATGAACGAGGCCAGCCCCAGCTGGAGTGGCTCAGTTCGTTAGAGCGTCACCCCACAACCAAAGGGCTGCAGGTTCCATCCCCAGCCCAGGTGTGTAGGGGAGGCAACCAATCGATGCTTCTCTCCTTTCCTGTCTCTCTGAAAGCAATGAAAAAAAAAGTCCTCAGATAACAATAAAAAATAAACACAAAATGAAGCCAAGGCAAGGCTGTCAGCACTGGTCACCTGCAGGCCTGTGACGGGAGGCCCCACCCCCTCCGCAGGGTCCCTCCGCTGGGGGCTGGGCACGGGGCTGTCTGTGCGCAGGCAGGACCGGGCTTCCAGCCACCCAAGCCCTCCCGGGCTGTGGGCTGAGACGGGCTGAGGAGCCCCCAGCGCGCTGCCGCCGGCCCCATGGGTGGCTTGTCCTGGGTGCCCAGGTCCAGCTGTGACACAGGCCGGCTCTCAGGCAGCTGCAGGTAAGCCCAGCCCGCTCCAAGGCTGGTTTTTCAGAATGAACTGTGGGGTTCAAAACCCCTCCATCACCACCTGCAGGACCACGCGGTCTCGTGGTGCGGGCTTCCTCGGGGACCCACCAGGGAGCGGCCCGCGGCCGCAGACCCGCTGCTCCAGGCCCCTCCCCCGCCCCCCGCTGGGCCACACGGCTGGGCCCCTCTGTGCAGCTCGCCTGTGCCGCTGTCACCAGCTAACGGGTGAGCGAGGTCCCAGGCAGCGGGGCTTGAGGTGCCCACACAAGCAGCCTCGTCGCCTCACACCCAGCCCCGGGCCAGGACTTCACGGGCGTCCGCAGGCCCAGGAGTGACTTGCAGCGGAACGGAACCCGCCGCCCCAGAGCCAGGGACAGAGGGGGCCAGGGACCTCACCCCAAGGCCGGGCCAAGATCTGGGAAGACAAAGCTGACTTGTTCGGTGACAATTAAACTGGGCAAACAGAGGCTGGTGCACTATGGTGAATGGCGCTCTTACAGGCAACACCAAGCCACACCACCAAGGACGGGGTCCGGTCCCCCCCCCCCCCCCGCGCAGGTCCCTCAGCACAGAAGAGCGACTACTTACGCCTTTTTAATGTCCTCGGCCGAGGCGTGCCTCTGCACGCCCAGAACTTCATAGTAATCCACCATGTTCCCACAGGCTGCTGGGGCGGGCCCTGCAATCAGAAACCCGCGGTCAGGGCCTGCGCTGCTCGGCTGGGCTGTCGTGGGGCGGGCCGTGTCCCCGAAGCGGCGTGTTCTTTCCCAATCTGACCAACAGGTACAATTTTTGACTCATTCACAACACTGGACGTTTGCTCTGTTGGCTGTTGCTGTTCATTTGACCATCTAAGGGAACAGGCGGCAGTGCCCCTGACTGAACAGCCCGGTGCGGCACGCTCCAGACACGCCCCCGCACACCGGGCGACCGCCGCTGCCCGGCCGTGAACGGAGGGGTGGCTCCTGGCGGAGGCGCGGCGCCGGCCTGAGCGACAGCTGGCAGCCCCGAGGAGGAGGGCCCTGCTCGGGAGCGTCGGCCGCCTCGTCCCCTCAGGCGTCCCTGTGCCGGGCCTGGGCAAGCGCGGTGTCCCCACCGGAGGACACGCAGCACGGAATACGGGGCCACCTCTGGCTCAAGGCCAGCAACGTGATCGACCGACGAAAGGGAAATTCAGGAAAGCACCTATGACCCTGAACACACTGTGAAAGACGCACACCCAGCTGGTCAGAGACTTCGCACAGAACAGCGCACGGCGCACCTTCTGCTCCACCCGAGAGGAGAGGAGGGGCCTGTGTGAGACGCAAGCGGCACCGCACAGCACGCAGCCCCCACCGGGGGCGCGGTCGGCCCGCCCCGCCCATCGCCTCTTCCCAGGGCCGTGGCCTGGCACCGCCAGCTCCTCTGCTGCTGGCGGTGCGCCCGCCCGGGCCTGTGCTTGCCCCCCGGCTCCACTGTGTCCCCTCAGGACACTCAGAGACCCGGGGAGCGTGGGCCCCCACAGCACGTCTCCCCCTCGTCCGTGCAGCAGCCCCCGACAGCCCCAGGGCCGGGCCCGCCGTCGGCCGCACCCCGCGGCGCCAGCCATCCCGGACGTGCTGCCCCTGTGCGGCCTGTTCCTTTACGTGCTGAGCACCGTATTTCTACACTCTTAAAAACAGGTTTGTTAACATGCGCAGTGTCATAACCACAGAAGTCACGGATTACAAATTCTGGTTACTTCTCCTGCCACAGTACGTAACCACTGAAGTGAAATAAACCTGGCCCTGGCTGCTGCGGCTCCGCGGACAGAGCACCGGCCCGTGACCCCGAGGGCCGCCAGCCGTTCGAGTCCTGGTCAGGGCACAGGCCTGGGTCGCGGGCCAGGTCCCCAGCAGGGGGCGCGTGAGAGGCAGCCACACACGGAGGTTCCTCCCTTGCTTCCTCCCTTCCCCTCTCTAAAATTAAAATCTTTTAAAAAAATGAAGAATGTGCCTACTTAAGGGACCACCAGACCGTCCTGCAGAGCATCCAGCCTGGCATCCGGGGCAGGCAGTGCCCAGCGTCTGCACCCCACCGCCCCTCCCAGGGGCACCCCGCACCCTCACCTCTGCTGAGGACGCGCGCGAGCACCTTTCCTCACGGGTTTCTGCTTCTACGACACGCCTCCTTTATGGTATTCACCCTCATCACAGGTCACTCTGTGGGTTTTTTAAATTCTCCTCAGAGGACCGGTTTTTAATTGATTTTAGAGACAGAAGAAGAGGGGGAAGGAGGAAAGGAAGGGAAGAAAAACATCGGCTGCCTCCTGTTCCTGCCCTGACAGGGGACTGGACACTCATCTCCCAATGTGCAAGGTGACAGTCCAACCGAGCCACCCAGCCACCATACGGTTTTTAAAAACGTTTTTAAATCAGAAGTTTGCCGAGGGCAGGACCCACACCAACCTTTAGCTCCCAGGGACTAATCCCTGGAAAAGGTCTGCTGCGCTAGCGGCACAGAGCAAACACCTCCCGACTCCAGCCAGGAGCCAGCCACTCAAGTTCCCTCGTTCCCCAGCGACTGGACAAACAAGGCGCTTCCGGGTCTCAGCCTCCCACCGCTCCCCGCCTGGGCCGGCTGCAGGAAACGAGCCACCACTCCGGTGGGCGCCGCCTGCCTCCCTGCCTGCCTGCGGTGGCCAACTCTCAGGGCTCAGCGACTCTCCTCAGGACCCCCGCGGGGGCCAGCGCAGCCTGCAGCCGGGGGCACCTCTTGCTCACGCGCTGACGCTGCTCTGTGAGCCGCTCTCCCCAGACTGTCGGCCAGTGGCACTGGCGTGACCTGCGCACACCCAGTGTCTGTGGGAACAAACCGGAGCCGCGCCACAAGCACGGTGGAGCCACTGGATGAGGAGCACTCGTGTTTCAAACTTCTGGTAGAGAAGGGATAGCTGAGTTTGGCCAATAAAAAACATAAAATTAGAAATGCACAAAACATGGCAACCGCGCAGCATGAAAGTGTGTGCTGAACCACACAGCAGACACACTGCCCCCTCTCAATACCTCCAACTGACACTTGGACTCCTCCAACGTATGCGTACACGGCAAAGAAAATTAAGTTATCGAAATTACAAACGCACAGACACGAACCAAAGACACCCATGAGCGTGAGGACAGGAGCAGCCCGCACGCGGCTGGGAAGGGGGTGCTGGGCCTGGGGGTGCAGCTCGCACCGCGACGCCCTTCCGTGGCCGGGGAACTGGTGGGCGAGCTCGGAAACAAAGCCTGCAGGCCGCAGCCTCCCCTCCCGGAGGAACAGGAGCCAGGCTGGCACAGGCGCCCGAGGCCTGACGTCTGTCTGCCCGTCTGCGTGTGTCTCTCTTGCAGTCACGCTACAGCGCGGGGCCAGGAGCCCGGACAGGCCAGGCCCCCGGCGCGAGCCGCCCGCCTCCTCACTCCAGCTGAGCTGCAGAAGTCTCTCCATCAACACACCAGACACACTCCCTTACACTTTGTTTTGAAAAGACAGGGCACCCCTGCAGTCCAGAGGCTGCGCCCACCCACACCGGCCCGCGTGACCGTCCTCCCTCCAGCTTCCCGGCCGACAGAACCCATGACCGTCCCCGGCGGCCGTCCCAGCTGTGACGGAGGCTCATCTGTGTCATTTTCTCCTGCTCCCGCACTTTCTGAAACTGTCCGCAGCCTGGTCATCCTCCATCTAGCTGTTGCCTATCTCAATTTTTGGTCCTTTTTTTTTTTTAAGGTTTCATTTATTTATTTTTAGACAGAAAGAAAGGGAGGGTGAAAGGAAAGGAGAAAAACATCCGCGTGTGGCTGCCTCTCACAACCCACCCCCGGACCTGGCCCACAACCCAGGCCTGCGCCCAGACTGGGATTCGAACCGGCGACCCTTGGGTCCGCAGGCCGCTGCTCAACCCGCTGAGCCGCGCCAGCCAGGACTCCGCCTGGGTTTCTGTGGCCAGACCTTACCAAGTCTCTGCGGAGACCGGCGGACGCCAAGCCACAAGCTGAGCCTGCGAGCACCTGGCATCCCGCACGGACGGAGTCCGCTGCTGGCACCCTGGCCGGCGCCGCGGAACAGCACCGCGTCGAGGGGGCGCTGCCACAGCACAGCTCCCCGGGACAGGGGGCAGGCCCGGGTCTGGGAGGCCCGAGGCCACAGGAGCAGGTGCGGACACACCCACGGAGGCGGCAGCGGACGCGATGTGTGCCCCAGCGGGGCCTGCCCGGATGCAGACCCCTGGTCCCGTCCCGGAGGTGGCTCTTCCCCCTTGCGGTCCGTGCACCCGGGTGTGCAGCAGCGTTTTCAACGAGCACTTGAGGCGACAGACGAGAACATCCATCTAGACCATGAGCCCAGAGCCTCCTGTGCACTTACCAAGACGAATCTAGTCAGGAAACCCATTAGCTAAACGGTGAAAGGTGCCCGCACACCTTTTCTGCTGGACACGGCAGCCTCGCTGGCCCGCCAGGCGCGAGCCCTTCCCCTCCCCGCCTGCACCTCAACAGCCTCGCTCTCCCACTCCCAGGGTCCACCACCCCGGCCAGCGCGGGCGCGCGCCCGACACCTCTCACGGCCGCACAGGAAGACCCCCAGGCCCTCCAGCAGAGGGCAGGCTGGAGCCATCGCTCCCACACCTGGAACAGGAGGCGCTGGCTCCCGAAGCGCCATCAGCCAGCTCATCTTCTGCAATTACTTCACAGGTCACACGTTCCATTATACAGAGTTCTTGAAAGCAGAATTCTGAGTAAGTTAAGTCTACACCACTCTTGGTAAGTCTCTGAGAAACAAGGACCTACTGCTCCCAATAAACGATCATCACTAACTTCTATTCCTGGGTGTCATGGAGAAGTGCCAGAAAAACACTGTCCAGGGTCCCAAACACCTCGCTCACCTCCCCCCCCCCGCCCCGGTTCTGAAGGGAGTCTCACAGAACGCCCCGAAATCCCCCCAGCTTGGGAAGCAGACTCAGCACCTCCGGATGCCGGGCCTCCCACACCCTTCTGGATCACAGATCTTGGTCACGCCCACACACACTGTGCTGCTGGACCAAAGTGACCGTCTTCTCACCACAAGACCTGGTCAAAGAGCACTCCATCTAGAACTGAAGAAGGCTCACTCTGCTTGCAAAACAAAACACTCCTTGGTTCCTCTCAACACCTGAGGCTCCGCTGAGGACAGGGCAGACGCGAGGAGGGCAAGCCCCCCCCCCAAAGCCTCCCGTGATTATCCCGCCCCCTCCACGGCTGTGCGTCCTTCGACCACAGCGCTGGTTTGGACCATCACTCTGCACGTGGACCAGAAACGTGTATGGGACCTTAAGCTGACCTTCTTTCCTAATATTAAATGATGACTGAAGTGTACTAATCTTCCGTCTCTTTGCTAATAGCAGGAGATGGCTTAAATAAATAATTTAAGATTGGCCATGAAAAAAAAAAAGCAACTTTAAAATAAATACTTTTGAAATATTCAGCTGTGGCATCAAACTAATTTGTTACAATATCACTGGAATGGAAGGTGGCAGGAAGTTTAAAAGGAAATGACAAACCTCCAACAGCTTCCCGGGTGACCTTCTGTTACCTGGCAAGTTCCCAGAACAAATACGTCGGTGGGGAGCAACAAAGGCGGAAGTGAGCCATCAGCCCCGGCTGGGGTGGCTCCGTGGACTGAGCGCCAGCCTGCAGACCACAGGGCTGCGGTTCGATTCCCTGTCAGGGCACCAGCCTGGGTGGCAGGCCAGGTCCCCAGCAGGGGGAACCCGAAAGGCAACCACCCACACATGGATGTTACTGTCCCTCTCTTCCTCCCTCCCTTCCCCTCTCTCTAAAGATAAATAAAATATTTTTTTAAAAAGGCAGGGCGGAGGGACCCTGCTAAGTGCCAGTGGTGGGTCTCCATCTGGAGTCACAGAGGGGTAACTTTCCTTGTCTGTTTGCTTCAGGGGACACTGGTTAAAAACAAACCATTTAAGGACATGATCTGTGATAACGAACGACTAGTCCCGTCTTTTACTTTCAGGATCTGTATTTGCTTACTTCCCTTTCTTTAGGGTAAAAAGGGAGCCCACTGGCAAGCACCCTGCCACCAGCAGCTGCAGAAGGGAGGTCAGGATGAAGGCCAACCAGCAAGGAGGGCCCCAGCCGCCCTGCGCCAACTCGAGGCGCAAAGGACACAGCCCGAGGTTCAGGACCCACGCGGGAGGCCACCGGGCACCGCACGCAAAACAGGGCGAAGCCTTCGTGCCTTTGGTGGGAAAGGCAGGACCCGTCTTACAGGCACCCAGGCCTGCTCCGTCTGAGCGATCGCCGCCCGCCCAACACAACAGACACTTGCCGCTGGGCCGCAGGCGCCCGCCACAGGCGGAAGGACAGGGCACTCACAGGCACAGAGCAGGACCACTCGGCCTTCCGGAATGAAGCCTCGCCGCTGTGACAGCCAAGGACAGAGGGCTTGTGCGGGGAGATAAAGCCAGACTAATCCCGGATGCCCTTACAGACATGGGAGTCCGAAAACAAGAGGAGCAGCGGCGGAGCGAGACCCCGCAGGACTCGCAGGCGCTGTCGGAGGGGCCGCAGCCGGGGACGGCAGGCCCGGGGGGGCGGGTGCGCGATGCCCCAGCAGCTCCTCCGCCTCCCAGCCACGGCCAGGGGGCCTCTCTCAGTGAAATGTTTTTCACTGAGAGAAGAGGAAAACGTGAAAGAAAACCAGGATACACCTAGATAAGACAAGAGTTCTAAAATAAAGCACCAAGGATCAAAGCTATAGAAACACTCTGCTTTGAAATAAACTGTAAAATTCACACATGTAAGTACTTGCATGTTTTCAGAAATTACTCTCTCCACCTTGAAAACAAGGTTTTTTCAATTTACTTCTTAGGCAGGCTACCGAAACAAAGGGGTCAGCTGTGACATTTTTTAATCTCCTAAAAATGTAGTTTGGAAAATCACTTTATAAGCAGTACATAATAAAATCATCCTATTTTTACTACCCGACTTACCCAGCAAGTCGTTTACCAACTAGGCTCTGACACTGCCTTTCCGCTCCTGCCTCACCGTTTCCACCACCGCTCCTCCCCGCCCCCCTTGCTCAGGGGGGCAGTTCTCACTCTCGAGCAGAGCCCACGTTGCTCCGCGCGTCCCTCCGCCCGCCCTGGCCGCCCTCCCCGCCAGCCTGCAGTCCCCGCCGGGCGCCACGAGGCGGCGCCCCCAACCAACGCAGCCCCACCGGGTTTTCACACCCCTCCACCCCGAGGTTAGAACCCCTTCCGAGGAGTGAAAAGGCAGCACCAAAAAAGCTTGTTGCCACCTCGTTAAGCTGTCAGCTTACCGAGGCCCGGGTCGATCCTGCCCCTCACTCCCCGCAGCCGGCGTCAGCAGTGACGCGCAGTCGTCCATGGGCGTCCACCGAGCCGCAGCGGGCCTCGGCCCCGGAACGGGGGCCGGCCGAGGTGACACGGCCCCGTGACCACTGCCCTAAATCCTCAACTCACACACCTGGCCAGGTTTCACTCTAAAGCTGAAACGCGCACACCCCGCCCCAGCCCACCGCCGGCGACCGCGTGCGCGGGCCTGACCCTGTGCCCGGCGGTGCCGAACACGGCGCCTATATTCACAGGAGAAACCGCTCCCTTGCTCCCACCTAAAAATCCTGGTCTCTCGGCCGGGAGGCCACCGCGCCGCTCGGCTCCAGGCTGAATTCCCGCCCCGCGCAGCCCGCCCCGCCCTGGCCCGCGGCCAGAAACGCCTCCGGCGTCCGCCGCTTCCGACTCCGAGGACAGGACACCCGGGTCCGGCGAAGAGGACGCTGAGCTCACCGGCGCCCCCCTTCCTCCTCCCGTCGCCCGCGCCGCCCCAAAGTCAGGCTCGGATTCATCTCCAAGTCTCCCCGAAGCTCCGGCCCGTCGGGCGGCTGACACGGCGCGCTCACCCCTCAGCGGAGCCAGCCAAGCACCGCCCCACAGGAGCGCGAATCTTTATTCGGAGCTAGAAAAGTTGGGTAGACCCCGCCCCACAAGAACCAGGGGGTGGGGTGGCCCGGAGAACCCGGAGGAGGAAAAAGGTGCAACACTCTTTCAAACCTTTTTTACCTTCACGATTACTGTTCTTTAGGGAGATTAAACGTTAAGAGCAATGAGCAAACAAGTTCGAATGGCAAGAACCGAGCCCTCCCTCTTTGGATCCTTTAACTTTTCTACTAAGCCGGCCGCCTTCAAAAGTCCCGAATCTCCACCTGAAACGTGAGAGTGGGACCCGGCAGGGGGCCCGGGACCTGCCCGCCGCTCGGACCCGCAGCGCCACGGGCTCCGCGACGACCCCGACGGGACTGTTTGCACCTCTCGTTTCGCACGCGGGCAAAACCGGGGGGACCCTCGGCCATGGAGGCAACTGCAGACCCCGAGGTGAAACAACGCCAGCCGGGGCTTTCAGGGGGAAGTCCGGCGTTCGCCCCCGCACAAACTTTTGAGACGCTGGTGAAGGATTCTGGAAGCGTCCCCTCGCCCCGCCGCCCAGGGACGCAGGGCGCGCTGCGGGACGCACTCACCTCGGCCCTGCTCTGCGGGCGTCCACGGGGGCGGAGAAGGAAGGAAAACGGGCCGCTCACGCCGCAGCCCCCCGCCGCTCCTGCGGGGACGCGCCGGCGGGACAGCGACGGGGACGGGGCCCGGACCAGCCGCCCACACCCCGCACGAGCCCCGCCCCAACCGCCGGCGCGGGCCAGGCCTCGAGGGCCGGCGGGCGGGAGGGGGGCCGGCTGCGCTCGGAACCGCGCTCCGGCCCGCCGCCCCGATCCCGCACCCGGCGCCGACCCCTCAACCCCGGCCTGCCAGCCCCACAGCCGCCCCGGGCCTGTCCCCCGCCCGCCCCCCACATGCGGGCGCCAGCGCGGCCCTCACCGAAGACAGGGAGCCGGCGGCGGGAAGGAGCGGCGGGCGACGGCCCGGTCTCCTCGTCTCCTGCGCGGCGGCGCTGAGGACGGCGGCGGCTCCTCGCGCTTTCCTTTCTCCTTTCTGCAACAACAAACAGGAAGTGCGTCACGCGTCGGCGGCGTCGCGGGCCCACTTCCGCCCGGCTTGACGCCACGCATGCGCCCCGCCCGCTGCTGCCTTCCCGAAAGTTCTGGGCCGACCAGCAGCGCCCCGTCCGCGGGCCGCAGCTTCCGGCCGAGTCCCCGCCCCCGAGACTGCGGGAAAGCCCGGGCTCCGCCAATGTCCTGTTCCCGGCCGCGTCCCGTCGCCCCCGCGCCACCCGGATCAGCAGGGACCCCACCGGGGGCTCCCGCGCGGAGCGTGCGCTGGCGGAGCCGCACTGGACAGTGCCCCCTGGCCCGGGGGTGACCCTGAAAGCCGTGCCCCCTGACCCCGTGATAGTGGGCTGGCGCTGGAAGCTGTCGCCCTGACCTTGGGGCGGTGGGGACGGACTGGAAGCCGTCACCAGGCCACAGGGGGTCCCCGCTGCGGGCCTCCCACGCGACGCCTAGCGCGGCGCGCCGCGCGCTGCCTAAGCACGTCCCCGCGACCGCGGAGGGGGCCGTGCCCTCCCCGCCGCGCTCCAGGCGCCGCCGCGGGCGGTCCCAAAGCGCTGACTCGCAGCCACCTGCTTCCCCGGCGGCACCTGCGGAGGCTCGCTTCTCGGAGCCCGTGACACTTGACGCCCCTGCGCGCAGAGGAGCACAATAGGCTTCCCGCGGGCGGGGGGCGCTCGGGGAGCCGGGGGCTGGCTAACCTACTTCCCAACAAAAGGCGGCTCACCGCGTGCGACGCCTGAACTGATGGGCCGTGTGTCAACGAGTGGGGAAGTAAACTTTAAAAAAACGTTGCATTATACTTTTTAATGGCTTTTTAAGTACATTTCCTGATTATGCCTTTACGGTTGTCCCATTGTTCCCTGCCCTTCACCCCCCTCTGCCCTGCAGCCCTAAGGGTAGATTGCTTTGTATTGTCTGTATGCCTTTCTCACGTTTCTTGAACCCTTGTTGTATTACCTCCATAGTTCTGAGCAGATGACCAGTTAGGTAAACAATTTTTCTTTTAATCTGAATCAGCTCTCTATTTTTTAGTAGGTTTGATTAATGCCCGGTGGAAAGGAAGGAATAACAGTATCTGGTTTGGGTGTGGACGTCTCATGATAAAACCGAAGATAATCGCAGCAGAGACTGGAATTTCATTCAGATATATGCACAGTTTGGCACTGTCTCCTGTAACCATATCTGCCAGCAGGTTGACAGTTTTATTTCCCTTCCAGTGTTGACAGTGCTATCGTGTGACATTATGCATTGAAATAAGTCCCTGCCGCAAGTGTGAGCTAATCTTGAAATGCAGACAGCAGGAACGCTTGAATTTTAAATAGTAAGTGGTAGGCTGGCCACAAATAACTCCTTCCTCCCTCCCTCCAAAAAATAAAAATAAAATATTTATCAAACATCTGTCGGTGCAATAAACTGTATCACGGGGAAAACCAACGCCTAGCAAACAGGCCGCCGGCCCTGGTGAACGCACATGGTATTCTGGGAGCGCGGAGGAGTGAGTATCCTGAAAAAATGATGTGGAACTATTTAAGGAACTCTCTGCAAAACAGACAGGCTCTTTCATGATAAGACAAAGGATTTATTCCAAAGTTAGCCTCAGCCCAGAGGGCGCTCCTGGAAAGTCTAGTTCTGAGGACAATCCCTTAATGCAGAGCCACAAGGATTTAGTAATTTCTTTTTAAGATTTCACTTATTTGTTAGAGAGGGGAAGGAAGGGAAGGAGAAACCAATTTGTGAGGGAGACATGGTTGCCTCCCGCACACCCAACCCATGTGCCCTGGCCGGGAATCGAACAGGTGACCTCTTGTGTCGCAGGGAGCACGCAATCCCCTGGCCCCACCAGCCAGGGCTGGAGCCACAGGACTTACACAAAGCCTGCCTGGGGAAGGTGAGCAGTCCGCGTGACGGGACAGAGGTTTTGAGCCGTGACTCGAGACAACGATGCCCAGGTGGTCGGGCCCTGCGCAGGCCACGGTGGGGCCACGGGCTTGCTCAGGCTACCCGGTCGCCAGGGAAGGTGGGAGGACAGTGGGACAGGCAGGAGGCTGGGACAGCGGGCAGACGCTGGGCCAGTTCCTGTGAGAAGGGGACAGGAAGCTGGATGCGGAAGCTCTTCCACCACACTCCGCTCGGTGCCCGGCACAGACTCGGGAATTGCTGGCCCTTCCGAGCCGAGGCCCCTTCGGGGACCTGAGAAAAGCAGAAGGTGCAGGTGGAGGGACGGAATCGGCAGGACCCCGGCGGGATGGCGCCCTGCCGCACCGCCCCTGCGTCCAGGAGCCTCAGGCGGACGTCCTTTTTGGACGACGGTCCGGCGCTTTTTACCAAACTGAAATTTGGTTTTGCCCCAAGGAAGGCGCTTGTAGACAGTTGCCGGAAGACAGTACGTGCTGCGTGGAAGAGAAAACGGCAGGCCCAATATGGCGTCACTGGCGCTAAAGCCTCTGATACCAAACCTGGACATGATGCCTGCCCTGAGTAAATGCTGCTTCAGCCTCTCCCACGAACGCAGTCTCAGTCGAGCGGCCGGCAGCTGTGGCCAGCACCAAGGAGGGGCGATCTGTCTGAGGACGAGCTGCGTGAGAAAACCCTTGCCTTTCCCTCCCCCTCAGAAGACAGTGCCCCCATGTAGAAATAACCCTTCTTTTCTTTTGCTTCCTGGCTCCATTCTCCTCCCGACAAAACCTTGATAAAAGTTGCCCATTTCTTGCAACCCCTTCCGAGGACCCTTCAACTTGCTAGATGGGATTCCCCCCTGATGCATGAATTGCTAAAAATAAAACCAATTCGATCTTTTTAAAATGTATTCCATTGAGTCTTGTTGGGGTTTTTTAAGGTTTTTTTTGTTTGTTTTTTACTTCTAGAGAGAAGAGAAGGGAGAAACGGAGAGAAACATCAAGTGCAAGCGATTCGGTTGCCTCTTCCGTGTACTGATGACCAGGCCAGAAACCCAGGCGTGTGCCCGGACTGGGAATAAAATCAGTGGCCTCTCAGTTCGCAGGCCGGAGGTCAGCCCACTGCGCCACACCATCCGGGGCCTGCTGAGTTCTGTTTTAACAGCAGGAAAGAAAAAAAGAAAGTAGAAGATACTTCAGAGGTCACTGGTCACAACTCCGCAGATAAGCAGTTTCTCCTTACCAGGAAGTGTCCTGCAGGCCAGGAATGTAACAGTGTAGATGTTTGTTTGGGTTTTTATTGACATCAAGTATATCCAAGATCCATTACTGAGATAGTGTGATGGGATCCCGTTTTTTTTTTTACATTATATTCGTGTGTGTGTATGTGTAGTCTATGGACTACACATACACACACACACTGCACGGCGGGAAATAATGTCCCCTCTGCCTCTGACGAAGAAGAGCCCCCGCTCACCGGTTGTGGTCAGCGTGTGTACCTTGTGCTCGGGAGGTACCCACGGCAACAGTAAACTGTGCTGGGGAGGTACCCACGGCAACAGTAAACAGTGCAGCAGCCTAGCTGCTGCTTCGGGCACAGACCAAAAGAAGGTGCTGGCGGGGGGGCTCTGTTACCAGGAAAAGCAACGTAACCATGGACCAAAAAAGGGCCACGCGCTCACCCCAACCGACTCAGGGGAGCCTGCGGCACGGGCTTACAAACTCAGAGACCGAAAGGAACCCCGCAGGACGGTCTGAAACACACACTTCAGGGCTAAGAGCGGTTTCGGCCAACAGCCCGGCCCCAGGCCGCTGCCTTCCCTGACAAAGGTGTCTTCACCTGAACTAGCCTGCCGGTGGCCCGTTTGCTTCGACGACCTCACGCCTCTGGAATGTCAGGGCAGTTTCCTCCCGCCCCCCCCCCACCCACCCCTCAGGGCACCGTCTCCCGCAGAGCCAGGCCACCTGCCTCCCATTGTTACTGTTATCACGCTAATGCGTTAAGCGCTGAGCGCTGCCCACCTTCCACTCCCCTATGTAAACGAAGCGAGAGTCTGTTCATTCGCTTTCCTATCCAACGCCCTCCGCCTCCTCCTGCGACAGTCCCGGGTAAAATAAGGAACCACACTGTACGGAGCACCTCCTCCATCTGTGGAGATGTTCCGTCCATGCAGCCGTCATCAGTTTGGGCCCAATAAACGCATAAAAATTCTCACAGGTGTGGATGCTTCTTCCCTTGGCAAGAACAATGCCAGTGGGCGGCCGTGAGTGAGCTTCAGGAGCACCCTCCCCTTCCGGCCCAGAGGGAGACAACTTTCAAATGGAGATTTCCCTTAGGAATGTAAATGTCCCTGGCCAAGGGGAACTTCCACTAGGTTTCCAGAAAGTCCCCTGGGCCTGCCGTTTCTCAAAAATAACTGGCGCAAATTAATCCTTAAGCCAGAGAAGCCTATTCCGCCGCGTCGCCTGGTACTCGCAGAAACCTGGGGGTGTCTGCCGGAAGTTGCTCGTAAAATAGGTTTCACACGCTTCTGACCGTCTCCCTCTGATTTTATGTACTGTTTGAACTTTTGCGTTGCATATGAAATATATCCGTGCTATTTATAAATACTTTCCAAGACCGATACACTCGTGTCGGTGGAGCTGAACCCGTGAATGGCACGCAGCCCCTTCGGAGGTCTGCGTCGGTGCGGTGGGAGGGGCGCGTTTCCCCGTCTGTTTATTGAGCACCGGCACCGTGCTGGGGTCCGGACAGGCTCCTTTCCCCAGAGGGGCGTTAGGGGCCAGTCGGCGGGGGTCGGGGCGGGATCGGATGAAGGAAAGCTTCCCATAGGAGGCCACTCTCGTGTGCGTTTCGAAAAACAATGCGTTAACAGCCGAAGCCCTGCGTAGGCGCAGAGAATTCCATAGACGAAACACTTCCCAGGATGGCCAAGGCAACAAAAAAGAAAACGATAAAAGTACTAGTTTTAAAACTTAACCTCTTCCACCTGTTCCAGGGGTGGCAACAGGGTCCTTCCTTCCGAAGGAAAGGTCTTTTCCGGTCAGGCAACGGCGAGGCCGTCCGCACGGCCTGGAGGGGAAGGACGGACTTCGCGGCGGGGA